CAGGGTCCTGGGATCGAGCCCCGCATCAGGCTCCCTGCTCCGCGGGAAGCCTGCTTCTCCCTCTCCCATTCCCCCTGCTTGTATTCCCTCTCTCGTTGTCAAATAAATAAATAAAAATCTATTAAAAAAAAAAAAAGAAATATTGTGCAGAGGGTAAAGAAAATGAGGTAGCTTAATTTTACTGATATATAAAAATCTGTAATATATGCTGTTAAACACCCTGGTTACACACGTAGAGTATGATTCCTTCCTATTAAGGAAAGGGGGGCAATTAGAATGCATACTTTTCACTTTTTCACAAGAAGCATAGATTACAAGTAGGTTGTACCAGCTTACACACCTGGCCGTAGTATGTCTGAACGGTGGTTTTGCCGAGGTTTTGTCAGCGTTTTTTTTTTTAATTCTTGCCAATTGACAGACAAGAAAAGGGCATCTTGTTTTCATTTTAAGTATCAACTTTTGTGTTGTTTTGTATGTTTATGGGCTTGAATTCTTTTGTGAAATTCTTGTCCATTGTCCATTTCTTTTTCCTTGCCATTTTCATGTTTTGGAAACTTGGTAGTTCGTAAAGCTCTGTAAAAAAAAAAAAAAAGATTTTATTTATTTGGGAGATAGAAAGAGCAGAGCAAGAGAGAGAGAGAGAGAGAATGAGCAGGGGGGAGGGACAGATGAAGGAGAAGCAGGTTCCCCGATGAGCAGGGAGCCCAACCCGGGGGGGCTCGATCCCAGGACCCCAGGATCATGACCAGACGCTTCACTGACTGAGCCACCCAGGTAGGTACCCCTGTAAAGCTCTTTTTATCTATCAGCCATTAATCCTTTGGCTTGTTGTCCGTTTGCCTCTGTGTGGTATTTAGGGTGATTAATGGTGTTTTTCTTTTTTTTATGCATTCAAATCTTCCTGTATTTTTTGTGTGCAGGAAGCCTTTTTCCGTCTCAGACTGATGCACTCGTTGCCCAATATATTTTTCTAGTTCTTATTTGATTTTGTTTTTTACATTTAGGTCTTTCGTCCATAGGAATTTATCCGTGTGGGCTGTCAAGTAGGGTTTAACTTTATTTTTCAAATGTTTAGCCAGTTGTCTTAGTGCCATTTATTGAATAAGCCATTATTTCAAGGTTATGTAATTTTTTTCAGACTGTTTATTAGATCCTGTGCATTTCACATTTTCAAAAGCCAGGTTTGTTGATTTGATTTATGTAAAATACAATTTCTCCCTTTTAAGCACACAGTTATTCTGTACAGTCACGCTTGTAGCAAATGTGTGCAGTTTTGTCGCCACCGCTCATGCCGGTCAAGATCTAGAACGTTTTCATCGTCCTCCAAAAGGGTCCCCCATGCCCCTTTGTAGTCAGCCCCCTCGCCCCTGACCTTGCACTCTTGCCACCCCCGATCTGTTTTCTATCCCTAAATTTTTGCCTTCTCCAGAATGTCTTACGAACGGAATCCTCAAACACATAGATTTTGGGGTCTGGCTCATTTCACTTAGCACAGTGCATTTAAGAGACTTCTGTGGTGTTGCGTGTATCGGTCGGTGGTTCATTCCTTTTCGCTGTCAAACAGCATGCCGTGATACGGCTGTACCACAATTTATTTAACTGTTCACTTGTTCAAGGACAGTGGGCTTGTTTCCAGTTTGGGGCTTTTTCGAAGACAGCTACTGTAAACATTCACGCACTGGTCTTTGTGTAGACATAGGTTTCCATTTCTCTTGGGTGGGACTCCTGGGTCATGGAGCAGGTGTATTATGCTTCATTTTATAAGGAACCAAAGGAGAGACCCAGTTACTCTGCATCTTTGTCGGCACTTAGGGATGTCAGTATTTTTTATTTTAGCCATTCTACTAGGAATAAGAGGGTTCAATCACTTCTTCAGAATAACTGGGATATTTTCAGCAGTGTCTCTCAACTCATCCCTGCCTGTGCTTTCTAAGACCGGGCGCTCCCAACTTGCTTGGTCCATCTCTCATTGGACAGCGCGAGGCAGCGGAAGAGTCACTGTTGCTCTTGTTTGTTTTTCTGCTTTCCCTTTCCTTTCCTACTAGGCTTCTCAAACCAGAAAACGTCAGCGCAGAGAAGGAGCTTAGAAATAATCTAGTGCAGGGGTGGCAAACTTTTCCTGTAAAGAGCCAGAGAGGAAACATTCTTGACTCACCCGGCCGTTCGGTCTTAGGGCAACTCACCTCTGCTGTGGTAACGTGAAAGCAGCCGCAGATGGCACAGAGGCCAAGAGGTGTGCCTGGGGGCCGATAAAACTTTATTTACAAAAACAGGCAGCCAGCTGGATCCAGCCCTTCCACCACAGTTTGCTGACCCCTGCTTTAGTCCAGCAACTTTATTTTACAGATGAGGGGACTGAGCTCAGGTTCTACCCTTTGCCTTGATTTGTAAGTAAAGAAGGCAAAGGCCGGGATACTGGCTTTTGCCGTTAAGAGACACACTTAACATTGAGTTTGGGGTGAGCTTCCCTTTGAGTGCATGATTCCCGGTTCTAGCAAATTCATGTCTAGCATGAAACTGTTAATATAGGGTCTTTCAAAAGTTTTAACTGCACTAAGACTTTTGGGGACATTTTATATATTGCCATTGACCTCGATGCTGGTTGACTTTTTGAGCCTATTATCTCTGGAGCAATGGGCAAATTTGAGTGGCAAGAAAATGAAGGTAGTAAGAGTTAATGTAAGAAAAGCACGTCACCCTTTTATTCTTCTTCTTCAAAAGACTGTTTCCAGTTTTGGAGATGTCCACATTTCTCTCTCGAGATAGCTGTCAGACATCATGTAACAATCCCACGCTCTCCCCTCCCCCTTGAATGTTAATTCCTGATTGTTTTGTTGCATGACTTGTTCAAATAGATGAAGATTCTTAGTAAAAAACAAGAAACAAAAAACAAAAAAACCCAAAACCAAAACCGTAAGAGGATAACATACACTCCTGGTTCCATGCACAGAAACCTAAAAATAAGCCCTGGCCGCTGGTCCTCAGGGAGAGAACATTATTTAGAAGAGTCATCGTGTGTGTGTGTGTGTGTGTGTGTGTGTGTGTGTTTTCCTTCCTTCCAGCACTGGAAGAAGTACGACATCTATGAGAAGCAAACCAAAGAAGAGACCGACTCTGTGGTGCTGATAGAAAACCTGAAGAGAAACTCTCAGTGACGGGGATATTTATTTTAACCTTCAACGTGACCTTGTGAAGATTCATCCCATTCTGCGTTTGTTATCTGGGAACTCGTGAAACGGAAATTGAAACTACTGGGGCCATTTAAAAACAGGCAGCTCAGAAGAGCCGCGGTCTTTCTGTTGAGTCGAGCACTGAGAAACTAAACCTGAGGGGCTCTTTGGCAAAGAGAGTGGAGTCCTTGTTGTTGAATTGTAAAAGCAGACCACCCTCGCGACGGCTTCAAAGTCAGGGACAAAGCAAACAGCGATGATGGTGGTAGAGTTAATCTTACCAAGAGTTGTGACAACTTCTGAGGGATCTGTGCCTGCTTTGTATTCTCTGTGTCCAACAAAACCAACACATTCGATTTTGTTGTGTGAAACTCATTTTGGGTGCAGTTGCTCATGCCAGCCCCTGAGTCACAGAGAACGTCTAGCAAACGAAATTGATAAAATCTGTTAATCTGTTCCTTGGGATCTCGTGGAGGAATGTGTGGGGCTCTGAAACCTCTTAGCAGCCTGGGATCCTCAGCGCCGTGAGCAGCAGGTGTCTCCGCTTGGAAAGGCTCGGACATCAGCGCTGGCCACGAGGAGGACACCTCCAGAAAAAGCAGAGGCCGCTCCTTTCCCGACACCTTTCAAAGCCACGGCAGGCTTTTGGGGGCCCCAGTGGAGGGTGGCAGGGATGGCTGGGTGTGAGGGTGTGCAGCCCGTGCCTTCTTCCCTTCCGCTGCTCAGAGCAGATGCTCACCCCCGTGCCCCTGCGCTCGGCCCCCAGCCCGGAGGCGCCGCTCACTCGGACGGGGGACAGTCAGCCGAGACCCCTCTGTCCTTACCACTTTATCTCCACCGGTCAGGTGCCAGACCTTTCGACTCCCCGGTTCCCCTGCCCAGTCTCCCCGGCCGCGTGCACCCTCATTCCCGGCAGCCAGCGGGTCTTTCCCCTCTGGCTAGAAATTAGAATGTAAAGCTGCTCAGAACACCTAGAGGGGCAGGGAGTAATTTGCATCTCAGGTAAAGTGTGAGGAGACTAAGAAACAATGACTGATTCTTGCATATTTTGTAACTTCTGCGTGAGTCCGCATTTCTTGGAAGGTTTTCAGCGTTTACTATTTATGCATTTTCTAAGCAGAAAGGAGGTATTATCTTCACTTTGAGCTTTGCTCTTCGTTTCAGAAAGGAATAGTTACGTCTTCCCCTTTTCCCTTCCGGCCACGACTGGTTGTGAGTAGGTTTTGCTGCTTGTACGGACAGCATCTGAGGCTCCAACATTTGTATTCTTTTTTTTTTTTTTTTTTGCATACTCAGGGTTCCATTCTCACCCAGCCCTGCATCAGACCCACAGAGATGCTCCCTCCACTCCTCCTCCTTCCTCCAAATTTAAAGAAGCGTGGAAGCGAGAAGCCCCCCACTCCGCCCCCCCCCAGTCTCTCTCCCCACATGCATGGACTCTGATTCCTGATAAGAACTTGAAAATGTGATACCACAAGTTCTCCAGACACTCACCCGTGGGCAGCAATCAGATGTTGCGACTTGCAGCTCCTGCTTTTAGGGGATGACAGGAGGAGGTCAGAGGTTTGGGCCCAGGTGGCCACCGGCTGGCACGGCCGCGGAGGAGGAGGGCACCCTGGCTTGTCAGAGGAAATTGCAGGCCAGGGGTAGACGTCAACGTGTTTCCTCCCTGTATCTTTTTTTTTTTTTTTTTCCAGGTCAGATTGAGGTGGGAGACAGGCAGAGTAGATGTCCCACCTTGTTCTACGGTTCTCTAGAAAGAGCATTTGGTTTTCCTGTGTCGGAATGAGATTCTCTCCCAGTCAAGTCTTTTATAATTCTGGAAAGCAAAACACCTACACGCCTCAGCCAGGGCCATTTTTCCTGGTATCCTATTTAGATGGCAGTGAGGGAGGGGATGCTTTGGGATCACGGTTCCCCAAGGGACTGCAGATGGTGACAGTCACAGCCCGGGAGCGGGGACATCGCACTTGGTTTCCATTCTCCGCTTTGAGCTGTCAGATAGTCGAGGGAAAAGGGGGCAGCAAACTACGGGAATACCTATGGCTGATGGAGAATTGCTGAAGAGTGATTCCCCCGGTGTTGGGAGCTCTCGGGAACTTGAATACATCAGTGGGATTTCCATCACCCGTAGGAAACGCGTAGCTTCATTCGCTGTGTTATGCCTAAACTATATGGATTTTCTTTCCCTCCACCCACCTAAGTAAACCCAGTGTAAGGATGGTCATTCTTATTCTTTCATTCAGATAAGTTTTTCCTCTATCTGGGCACTGAAGGGATACACAAAACAATGTTAAGAATATTTTTGGTAATGCCTTCAACTAGGGATCATTTTGTTTAACTTCTTACAGGAAAGCTTGAGTGAAATAAATACTGTCTTTTTGTATGTCACCCACATGTTCTCCTTTGGTCTTACTTTGGTGTAAAGCATTGTGAGGAGTGGGTGGTGGAAAAATTGGAGTTAAAAGAATAAATGTGGGGCAAAAAAAAAATCCAAGACAGCTATTTTATCTTACAGTCATTTCTCATAAGCTGCTCTGCTGTTCTCAGTGCACCTGTGTTTTCTGATAAGAGCACTCACCGAGTTTAATATCAGCAGTACCTAAAGGGACGCGAGTATCTGATAAACTGTAGTTGTGGTAATTAAGGGAAATGCACCGCGGGGCGGCTGCGGTGCCGGGGTAGGGGGCCCGGGAGGGAGAGCGGGGTCCGCAGGTGCAGCTGAGGCACCTCCGCGGGGCAGGCGGCTGCAAGGGGCTCCAGCTGTCGTCGTTCAAGGGTGGGACGGCAAAGTATGTCATTGCCAAAGACGGGGGCGGGTGGGGGGAGGCCTCTGCCGGCTGCCTGCGCGTCTCCATCCTGACATACCTGGTGAAGAAGGGTTAGCAAGACTGTAACACCTCCTGGCAGAGCAGTGTGTCACCAGAGTCAAGGGCGTGACCTGTTGCCCACGATGTCATCCCACCGCGGGGAGAGAGTGTCTGTCGTCACCAACCCGATCGTGACCCCCAACCAGTGGCAGGAAACCTATGGGAAAAGAAAAAGAAATACAAGTGTACACGTGTGCGCGCACACACACACACACACACACACACATGCACGTTCTTAAGGAGACTGTCCTGGTATACATGATGGGGGACCCCCAGTTAGAAATTAGTCACATGAGCAGGTTAGATTTGAGCCTAATAATCAGTTTTCAATAGCTGTCCTCTTAAGAGATGGTAATGTGGTTTCATATTTTCTATAACTACAGCAAAATGGTTTCAATGTCATGGAGGGTTTTTTTTTTTCTCATTCGTGTTGTTAAAAGGAAAACCACGGGCCCAGCATGGTGTCACTTACCCAAGTCAGTAAGCCAAGACTTAATACGTAACTGCAGTTTCAGCCTTTAACCTTTAACCAGCCAACATGGAATTTCCTGCCCAGTACTAGGAATTTTACTGATAGACCCTTTCCGTTCCCCTTAGGAGGGTGACCTTGCTTAAAACAATGGATTCCTTGCTAATAATTTCCTTTTTTCCACTCCCTATCTTTATTATTAATTTTTTTTAGAGAGGGAAGGTGGAGGAGGGGCAGAAGGTGAGGGAGAGAGAGAGAAAGAATCTTAAGCAGGCTCCACACCCAGCATGGAGCCACCTATGTGGGGCTCAATCTCATGACCCTGAGATCATGACCTGAGCTGAAATCCAGAGTCGGACACTTAACCAGCTGAGCCACCCAGGCGCCCCTCACTCTCTACGTTTAAAAGCCTTTTCTTTTCTGTGGCTCTTTTTTTTAAGATTTTATTTATTTATTTGACACAGAGAGACAACAAGAGGAAACAGAAGCGGGGGAGTGGGAGAGGGAGAAGCAGGCTCCCCGCCGAGCAGGGAGCCTGATGCAGGGCTCGATCCCAGGACCCTGGGATCATGACCTGAGCTGGAAGGCAGATGCTTAACGACTGAGCCACCCAGGCGCCCCTCTGTGGCTCTTTTGAACTCTTCTCTACTTATTAGGTGCGGATGCTGCTGGATTCATGAGTCAAATAATAAAGCCAATTAGATCTTTCAAATTTACTTAGTTGAGTTTTTGTTATTTAACAGTGTTAAGCTCTAGGAATGGGTCTTTAGCCAGACCACATTTATTAATTACCCTGAATCTTTATAAGATCCAAACCCTAGGGAGTGGGTAGGGGCTGCTGATCTCGGTGAGGTTATTTCTGTAACCATCTAGAATGATCCAAGAAGAGTCTGGAAATCTGTCTCCAGGTAAGTATAGTTGTGTTTTTAATAAGAAAGCTTTGCTGCTTAATACATCAATATACTGAGTATTATGACAGAAAACATTTGAGTACAGACACTTGAGGTTGCTTATCTATATGAGATCTATGGAAAACACATTTTTGTAGTCATAAACATGTTCACCTTGTCTCGGGGAGAGGAGCCAGAATGATTGAAGTACATTTGATTTCCAGAGTAATTTACCATTTTGTCATTTCCATGAAGTCCTGCTCGTTTACAAGCTCACATGAGAAACACATTATGCCATCAGAGTATTAGTAGTTTCAGAAGAAAGCAAGGAAACAAGAACACTTATTTCAGAGACTCTTCTTTTAAACCCTGATGATTAGATCAAGCAGTAAGTTTCTTGTAAATACTGTAGCTAAGTCTTGGCATGCTTTTACTTTAAGCGAGGGAGGAGATTTATTGGCATTTGGATATGCTAGATATTTTTGACATCAATCCCCAGGATGAATTCTTCCTGAAGGTTCTTTGGCCTTTAACTGTCTTTCCTAATTGTCACACTATTAGTTCACTATTAGCAACAGGAAAATATTTGACTGCTAGTTTTCAACATTTATTAGGTATAAACATTACATAAAAAGAGAAAATAGTTATTGAGTGGCTACCAGGTGCCAAGTTAGATGTATTATTTCACTAAATTCCCACGTGACGCCCATGAGATAGGTGACATTGTTACCTTCATTTTATAGATGAAGAAACTGAGACATAAAATGATTGAGTTGGGGGCTCCCAGATGGCTCAATCAGTTAAGCATCTGACTTCCGCTCGGGTCATGGTCTCAGGGTCCCGGGATTGAGCCCCGTGGCAGGCTCTGCGCTCAGTGAGGGGTCTGCTTGTCCCTCTGCCCTTCCCCCAGCTCGTGCGCTCTCCCTCCCTCCCTCTCTCTCAAATAAAATCTTTTAAAAAAATAAAACGATTGAGTTGTGTATGCAAGATCACCCAGCTAGTAAATGACTGAGACAGAATTGGAAACGAAGTCAGCCTGACATGAGAGCCAGTATTAGAAGGCCAGTGATATATTTACTTGTCCTAAGAAGAAAGCTACCTAAAGAAGAAACATTTTCTTTCAAATTGTTGCCAAATTGCTTATCAAACAGAAGTTATTTGAGAATGTAAACCATTTAAGCGAGCTTTTTACAGCGTCTTCAGATTCATTTGTGCATTCTATTCATCTGTGTGCTTTGCACAGGGCAAAGTAACCTAGAGTGGAATGTCCGAGTTCCAAATGACCTTGGGCAGACATTTCTTCCTGTTTGCATCGGCTTCCCTACCTGTAGATGAAGATGTTAGACTTCGCGATTTTTCATCCCATCCAAAGTTCCTAACAGTGGCCGTAAGTTGTGGAACTCATTCAGAAGTGGGGGTCTTTGCTACAGACACAAGCAATGCCATGGGCAGGTCCCTTCCTCTCTCTGGGCATCAGTGTTCTCATCTGTAAAATAAGGAGACTGGACTAGATGAGCTCTATTCTGACATCCAACAGAAACTGAGATAATGACTTGTTTTGCATATCAAGAAAATGCATTTACGGTCACCTTTCCTATTTGCTACAGGAAATAGCCATGAGCGGTTAACTGCCAAAAATAACCAGAGTGGGTCCTTTAATACAACAGTACGAACAGAGGGGTTGATACGTTGGATGAGCCCTGGGGTCCATCCAAATCAGAATTTTCCACAAGGGCCCAGCCATGATGGTGCCCAACAACTATTTCTTACCATGCTTTGCAGATCGTAGGTCATTTTGCCTAGAGACACAAAAATGGATTTTTGTATAATACAGATTGCTTCTATAATGATATTTGATACGTTACCTAAAATAGAGTCCCTTTGAATTCAATACTTGCAAATTTGGTCATTGGATTTAACTTTCTGGTTTTTATTTGATCAAAATGAAACTAATTTTATTATTTTTTTAAGATTTTATTTATTTATTTGACAGAGAGAGACACAGCGAGAGAGGGAACACAAGCAGGGGGAGTGGGAGAGGGAGAAG